CTTCAGTTGTCTGGTTTTGATGATATCCCTCTGTGGTGGGAGAAGAGGGTGATCATCTTTGGAAATGTGGATTATCACTTGTGTTGCCCTCAACTTTGACAGTTTTGGCTTATTTTATGGGGGAAAATTGTGTTCTGCTCATGTCTTACACATACACACAAGATCAGATGTGTAGGGATTTGAAGCTAGGGTGAGACAGACTGCACTATGGGGAACAGAAAGAAATCTGGCCAATTTTGTGCTTAATGTTTGTCTTGATCTTTTTTACTCTTAATGGACCTTACCTAATAGAAGAAATTATTGAGAATATTGGTGTAGCCAAGAGAAAAATAATATTTGTGATTTGTATTTCATTGTTATAGATGAAAACAGACAATGGAACTGGCTGCTGGAGAGACCCCAGAGTTTATATACTTTCATATCTCCTAGCAGATAGATTTTGGGAGCAATTGGAGAAAGCACTGACTAGAAAAGTCAAGAGCACATGGCAGAATCAAAATGTCGGGGAGGTTCTTGCTCTGAAGGTTCTTGTACTGGGTCCCAGCTTGCAGAGCTTAGTCCTTTCAATGGATACTCTGTACCTATTTCCGGAAAGGCTGACATGGCCAGTTTTGCTCATGAAGCTGGATTCACACCTATGCTGTCTTGTGCAGAAGCTCAGACAGAGCTTGGAATGTCATAATCCCAGGACCACCAAACTTGGTCTGAATTGAAACAAGCCTGAGACTTGCTGTGGTCCAAGATAGCTGTGGATTGACTGGCTGGCTGAGGGCGTGTGGCTCGGAGGTTAGCTGGGGAGCAGATAGCCTCCAGGGAACAAAATGAAGGGGTGTGATGAGACGACATGTACACCCCAACAGCTCTCCTCCTTTGAGTGCTTATCTGGCTATGCAGGTGGTGTACCACCATGCAGCTCTTGTAGTTGGATATTTTTTCATCCTTACTCATATCCAGTGGGTGGTCATATGCAAGTCTTCCCCTCCATATAGTATCGTGTAGTAGAGATGACAGAAGCAGTGCACACAGGTCTCTCTGTCAGATCCTCTCAGCTATTAGTAGTGCTGGAGGAAACTCCCTCCACCTCCAGCGTTTGAGATGCAATGACACTATTGTTACGTCTTGGGTTATTTTCCATTGCTTTTGAAATTTCCATCTTTTTTCTGGTTGCCTCCTCTTGTTTGTTTTTTTTTTTTTGTTCTCAGTTTTTATGGTGTCTGTCTCCCCTGTGCCCTTTGAGCGCGGATTTGCCTACAGCAGTCATGCCTGCTGTTTCTGCTGCCTGTACAAAGCCTGTGTTTCTTGTATGAGCAACATCTGTGAGACTGTGAAGAAATTTCTGCCTGTAAATAGATCTGTAGCTTCTTTTAAGATCTGCTATCAGCTGCTGGCCCTTTATCAACTAAACCTTCAAGATTCTTGCCATACTTTTTATGTGCAAATGAGGATGAGTTGTGGTTGAAAGCCTTGCATGGCGCTCACCTCTTTTTTTAGTCCTGCCATAGTCTCCTTGGCTCTGTCTTTGGGACTTCCCTTGGGACTGAGGTAATAAAGAAATTAAATGTTTGCTTGCTTGTCTATACCTCTGGTAACTGTATACCCAGGTAATTCAGCTCAGCATTGGTAATGAGCAAATATTAAGTTTATTGGGATGTTGCTGGCTTCTGTTTTAAGGGTAGTGATAAGTTAAAGCAGGGCTGATTTTTGAAGCAGGACTTTCTGAAAGCCCAGCTCCTTGTTGTGCAGACCTCCTCCTACCTTACCTTCCAGTCAAGGCTTGCAATACATGCGTGCCAGCTTGTACCTGTCGTTGGCAGACCTTGGGGATGAAATTGGGATGACTTGAAGTCAGCTGTTTTGATACAGAGCAGTACCTGCAAACAGGAACAGATAGTGACCGTGCCACCAGCAAGTCCTTTGAGGACTTCTCCAGTGAGCTGCTGCCCACAGGCTCTGAGAAGCTCTGTGAAATTATTTCCATGTGGAAAGTTAATTTTCTATATACTTGAGATAGGATTCTTTCAGAAAACAGATTAAACTCTTTTTCTTTTGTATCCATAAAGAGTAAATTATCTCTTTTCAAGTTTATGGTGATAAAATGTTCATTAATGGAGATCTTAAACTGTAAAAGTGGACTAATTTGGTAAAATAATAGCATTTTCTTGAGGCTTTTTTTCACAGTAAAATCCATTTTGATTCTTTAAAAACATTCACTTCAGTTTTAAACGTGTATATGCATGTATGGGGTGCAGGTACGCAGGTCTGACAGCAGGACTGTGGGGTCTCTGTGGGGAGAGGTCAGACCCAGCTGTTTCCAGCCAGCTCTAGTGGCCCCACAGGGCACAGCTCAGCCCATCGGCAGCTCTGGCGGTGCCTCCGGGAAGCAGAACTAAGAAAGGGCAAAACTTCTCCCATCAGTGAGGAGCGAGGAGCAGCCCTGCAGCACTGGGGAGGAACAGGAGCTCCAGGCACCAGAGCAGAGATTCCCCTGCAGCCTGTGGGGAGACCACGGTGTGTCAGGGAATGGTGTGGGGACAGGGAAAGGCTGTTAGGGGATAAAAAAGCCCCTCTGTTGTGCAATAGGGGAATCTGGGCAGGAGAAGGCAGCCCCTGGCATGGACTTAACACCTACCACATACAGCATGCTGGCCTTACCAGGTCTCTCAGGGTTGCAAAGCCACCTGTAGGTAGTTGGACAGTGCTTGTACAACTCATTGTAACATCTCAGCTTTGCCTTTCTTCTCAGTGGCTGTGTGCTGCTGCATGGTGTTCATCAAAGATGGGTCACACGAAGCACTGCCTGAGCAATGGGATGGTGGCTTTGTAAATAGGCAGTAGTCATTTCTGGTGTAATGCCACAGATAGAGCAGGAAGCTTGGAGAAAAGCTGATTTTTTTTTTTTTTCAATATAATAGATAATCAGAGAACGCGTACGGTAGAAATTTTAGTTGACAAAGTGAGCAAACTTCTGTTTGAGGGTTCAGTCAGAGCATCCTTCTGAAATTTGAATTTGCCCCATGTTGTGGAAGCACAGGACTAAGATCCATAAAAACGCACAGAGCTAATGCTTGTCTTCACATGTCTTTGGTTGACTTCGCACCAGTGTTATGATGGTACTATAATAAATAGTTTGATTGGATTTAGTAACGATGATTTCCCTGCCGCTCTGTGGGGAAACAAATCAGTCCTGCAGAATATGGAAAAGATGTTTATGCCTAAGGATGTATACAAAATGAGTTTACAACATACATAGTCATGTTTTTAGGAACCAAATTGCAAACGCTGCTGTATATTTGAAAGTAATATTAATTTACTTTCCTAAAAAAATAAGTTTGTCTATTCAAAAACATTCTTCAAATTAATCTTAAATAAAAATGTTTCCAATGGTAGTAGTGTTTCAGATTACTCTTAGAGATTTTTGTGGGGTTTTGTTTGTCTTTGGCTGTTTAGTATCAGTCTAATTGCTGTAATATGGTTTTGGCTTAAATTAGAGTGAGGACTGACCTCACACTTCTGTTGGAGATTAAGTCATATGGTGAATAGTACTGTTAGTGTCTTATCCAGAAGCTCTGCAACTTACTCTGCATTTCCTATGCTTTGCTTTTCTTTCAGTGGGGCTAAGAGTCTGTTACTGTACACTTCAAACTTTTTTCCTTGATTAGCTTTCCTGTGGTTTTCCAGTATGTCATCGAGGAGGTCTTTCTGCCTCAAATCAGTTATTTCGATGGAGAAAAGTGAATTGATTGTAAACTAAGCAAATCAACCATATGTTGAAAGGTGCCGATTAAAAGGATGTATTATCCATAGATTGGTCATTATGAAGTTGTAGCCATTGCTGCGTAGCACATTGATGTAGTGCAGGGGGAAAGCACAGTGAAATTTTTCTTATTAACAATTTTAATTAACTTTTAATTGATTTCTAGGAAGATAAATAGTTTCATTACAAAGTCTTAAAATGTATATCTTCACCAGAATTAAACATTCATGGAAACTCCCTGACAATTGTTCTGATAACAGAACATGAAAATCTCTTATGATCTTCCCAGATGTCTGTAGCCTCATTTGAAAAGTCAAATAAATGAAAATACCTTGTTCACAGAATGCGCTCTGTTTAATTTACATAACATTATTCAACATGCCATAATTTAATTAAGAGGAGGAAAAAAAACCCAGGTCACTGTTCAGACTATGTTGAGGGCCTGCTAGCTTTAGAGAAAATGTATGAATTTTGTCCATCCCTATAAGGGCAGTTATGTAATAGCAAGAATTATTTGGCTGATACTGAAATTTGAAACTTATTTCAGTATGTGAGAACAAAGGTATCAACTGAACAAAATCAAACTAGTTTTCTATTGCAGTCATCTGCCTCTTCTGAGTGTGGAAGAATGAGGATGAAATGTGATGTGATAACATTTGGTTTTCAAGAACATGATAAACAAACTATAGAAAGTTCCAGAGAGCAACGATTGAAATATCACTAAATGTGACAAACACGTTAAGTGAAATGAAAGTCTCTAACTAATGTGTCTGTTCCTAGCTGTCTGCTGACTGCATCCATCTTTCATCTAAGCATGTGCTCCATAATGGTTTGGGCAGCAATGGAACACCTAAATTAAACAGTGTAAAATAAAAATCTCCCTCAGACATCACCTAACACTGAAGATACTTCAGCTTTAGAACTATCTGAGGGCTTAACTTTAAAATCATCTAGTTTGTCTTCTGCTTATGTGCACAGTTATCCAAGGCTGAGCATTTTTTTTCTCCTGAAGTCCAGTTGGGATCCAGTAAGCCTACCTTCTGTCACTGCAAATTAAGAGATTTGTTTCATGGGATATTTTATCTTCAGCAAAATACCAGTGAGGGGCAAGCAGCCGTAAACAAGAATTGCTCAATAGCCACACAAGCATTGGTACTCCGTAGAATACTACCCTAGCTTACCTTGTAGGTAAGTCCCTTGCATTTAAAATGTGCTTTAAAACATTTTTCTTTTTTCCGTTCTTCAGGCTACAGATCCAGATGCTGGTGTTAATGGTCAAGTTCATTACAGTTTGGCAAATTTCAACAATCTTTTCCGAATCACATCAAACGGTAGCATTTATACAGCAGTTAAACTGAACAGAGAAGTCAGGGACCATTATGAGCTTATTGTTGAAGCAACAGATGGAGCTGTGGACCCCCGCCATTCAATGCTACATTTAGCAGTCAAGGTGCTGGATATTGATGACAACAGCCCTGTTTTTACTAATGCTTCCTACACTGTCTGCGTGCCGGAAAATCTCCCACCAGGCACTGTCTTTCTGCAGATAGAGGTAAGAAAGCATTCTAGAGTGAGGGAGATAGTTTGTACATGTTCTATAACACTAGCCGTGTTCTTATTTAACTTGTCAGTGAGACTGCAGTAAAAGATTGCAAACTGGAGTGGGGCAAGTTATGACACTTAAAGACTGAAAAAAATGAATGACCTTTAGTCAGGTACATAAAAATAATGTGAAGCTGAGATTCATTTGGAAACGAGCAATTATTAAAAAACAAACGAACAAAACCTACACTGCTGTTGTCGTTTCTCGGAATATTGTTTTACGCATTTTAAAGTGTGTTTGATTTGTTTTTGAAAGCTCATCATATTGCTTCTACCTGTTTACATTAGTAGG